GATTGTTGAAGATTACACGATCAGCTCTCCTAAAGAAGGTGAGACTTTTTTTTCTACTGTTAAAATATCAAAAATCAACAGTCTGTCGTCATTTACTTACTCTCATGCTGTTTCTGTCTGCTGTAAAACACCCGATAATAAGCACCTTAAGTATCATAAAAATAATCCATAACCCATATGATCTTAAATTATGTGATAGTGAGGAACATATTTTTAGGTTTATATAATATTAATCAATAAAAACTACCAGTGTTGTTATTGTTAACTAAAAATACAACTGTTAATATTCGTTTTTGGTAATTGAAATAAGTAACATGTAAATATTAGATGAAAAACTTAAAATGAAAACTAACAACTAACTAAAAATAAGATGAAGTACTAAAAATACTTTACTTACAAACAAATAAATGAATGAATGAAACTGAAATTAATCAAAATAAATTAAGGCTAAATAGAAATATTGAAAAACGAATACAATTACAAAATCACGACAAAACTACTAAAACTTTGAAATTAAGATGTTAAACTATGTTTTCTATGATATTAACCAATAAAAACATGCCAGTGTTGTTATTGTTAACTAAAAATAAACTATTACATTTTTTTTTTAAATAAAGTAAAATATAAATATTAGAAGAAAAACTTTGATGAAAATGAAAACTGATGCCTTGGCAACTAACTAAAATAGCTGACGTGCTAAAATTACTAAACGTACTAGAAAACACAAAAAGAAAAAAACTAAAACTGAAATAAAAATAAATACAAATATAAAAAACGAATACAATGGCACAAACGCAAAAAAAAAAAAAAGCTGAAATAATGAAAAAAAATGAAAATGTTAAACTAAAATATAATAATAAAAGTTAATTCAAAATTTGAATATATAATAGTGTAAATAATACTAAAATAGTAATAACTCGTATCTGAAAAGTGCAGATAGGAATATATGAAAAACATTTTTGTACATTATATCGAACAGTAACGTTGTTTCACTTTTAGAGCCACAGTCTTTAAAAAGCATTGTGGGATACGTCAACATTCTGTTCATCTTTTGTATTGTGTTGTACGTTGTTTACGCATGTGGTCAGTTTTATTCATGTCTTCAATAACAAAAAGCCTGAAAGCAAACACATGCTGCTCCGGATTATTTATCTATTGATTTTGTCATGCCACTATCTCATGTTGTAGACGCATAAATCAAGTTCCAAAACCCCTTTTGAAAGTGACAGCACTGTTAAAGTTATTCTCACTTAGGTTTAGCCGTAGTGTTTTACAGCTAACATACTCTCGCAGATGAACGGCCGCGGAGCTTCACTGATATGTGAAATGACTTCACGCTGTGAAGGATTGAATGATTTCAGTGAACAGTCCGTCAGGACGCTGCATCTGCGAACTTTCACAGATGTGCGCACCCCTCTTCTCTCACTGCGAGTCTGAACTGACTCTTGGCTGGCCTTGAACTTTAAGTCGAAGCGTTTGCTACAGCTGCATTCATTCCTCAACACACACGTGCTGGACTTTTGTCCTACGTGAAAGGAATAGTTCAGCCAAAAATGAACATTTGCTGAAACTTTACTCACCCTCAGGCCATCCAAGATGTAGATGAGTTTGTGTCTTCATCAGATTTGGAGAAATGTAGCATTGCATCAGTGTCTCAGCGATGGATGCTCTGCAGTGAATGGGTGCCGTCAGAATGAGAGTCCAAACAGCTGATAAAAACATCACAGTAATCCACAAGTAATCCACACCACTCCAGTCCAGCAGTGAACATCTGGAGAAGACAAAAGCTACATCTTTATAAGACACAAAAGCATCAAGACGTTTTTAACTTCAAACTGTTGAGAGAGTTTAAGGAGTCCATAATCCATAATAGCGCTTCCTCCAGTGGAACAATGGTCTGGTCTGAATCAGGAGAGAGATCAAACACTGTTTACAAGCCAAAACAGCTCTAAACAAATACAAAAAAATTAAATAAGAAAATTTATGTGGCTGAATTTGGATGTGAGAGACCACAAGAGATGGACTTTTTCACTGGAGGAAGCCAGTTATTATGGATTCATTTTTTAGTAAAAAAAAAGGTCTTGATGCATTTGTTTCTTTTGGTTTCAGAATACATTAACTGATGGACTGGAGTGGTGTGGATTATTGTGATGTTTTTATCAGCTGTTTGGACTCTCATTCTGACGGCACCCATTCACTGCAGAGCATCCATTGCTGAGACACTGATGCAATGCTACATTTCTCCAAATCTGATGAAGAAACAAACTCATCTACATCTTGGATGGCCTGAGGGTGAGCACATTTTCAGTACATTTTAATGTTTGGCTGAACTATTCCTTTAAAGCAGAAGTTCTGATCTCATTGCCCAGGCCAAACCCTAGTGAATGTGGTACTGCAGTACTGTTTGGTGCACCATTGCTTTAAATCGTTTCCCCTGCTCTCTCTGAAAGACGGGAGGCGACGGGGTCCGGCACATTCCAGAGCACAGAGGGGTCGCGTTTGCCCTCGGCAGGGACGGCAGACCTGTTGAACTGCTCTCAGCTGGCCTCGCTTTCAGCTCAACAGATGTGGGAGAGAAAAGAGGCCCGTCCCAGCAGAGAGACCCCAGAGATCAGCGTTCCCAGAGACAGAGGGGAATCACTTTCGTTCGGCTGGGACAGCACACTGAACTCATAAGAACATGTCCAGATCATATTTCACCTCAAAATCAAAAGAAGAAAATGTTGTATAACGAAAGAAGATTATTTTCATGAAGCATGTATAGCCTACCCCAAATTCTCATTACAGTTATGTAAAAATAATTGATATATATTATTTGTAATAGTAGATATAATTGATATATTATATATAGAATAACTGAGGGATGAGTCAAACTTATTGTCTGTCATAATCAGCTGAGCTTAACTTGTATTGTTCATGTTACTGTTTGTTCAGAAAGTTTCATATTTGCACTTTTCAGAGTTATTTAGTATTATTTATTACATACTAATACCTTAATAAATTAGTATGTATTCGTATTTTGAATAAGCTTTTATTTGATATTTTCAGTCTTCATTTAAATTTTAGTTAATTTTTGTTTTAGTAATTCTGTTGTAATTTTGCCATTTTATTATTAGTTTTTTAAATATTTCTATTTAGTTTTGGTTTATTTTATTTCAGTTTTAGTAATTTTGTTTTGGTTTTTCTCATTTTATTATTATTTATTTAATATTTCTATTTAGCTTTAGTGTACTTTATTTCAGTTTTAATAATTTTTTTGTGATTTTCTCATTTTATTACATACTATTATATATTAATATTTTAAATGATCTTTTATTTTTATATTTTCAGTTTCCGTTTCAATTTGTTACATTTTTAGTAATTATATTGTGATTTTGTCATTTTATTTGTATTATATTTAGCTTTATTTTATTTTTCAGTTTTAGAGTAATTTTGTTGTGATTTTCTCATTTTATTAGTTTTTTATTTAAATTATCTTTATTTCATTTTAGTTTTAGTAATTTAATAATCTCATTTTTTTATTTTTTATATTTATATTTATTTTATTTCAGTTTTAGTTTTAGTAATTTTAGTACTTCAGCTTAAGCTTATTTTGTTTTAGATATTTGCCAAGACAGCATTTCTAATTTTAGTTTAATTTGTTTAGGTTCAGTTAAGTTAAGGTTAAGGCCTTCATCTAAGATTTATATTTAATTGATATATTATTTATAATAGTACACATTATTTATATATGCATATGCTTCATCCCTCCCCAATCATGAAAATAATGTCACAATGCAAACAATCTTGATGGTTCTACAAACAGTCTTCATTTTCTTTATGGCAAAAAAAATTATTTCTTTGTGTGGTGAAATATGACTATTAATTGAGGTGTGTGCCTGTATCCAGACTGTCACTGTTTTGGTGCAAACACATTCTGTAATCCAGCAGTAAAGTGTCTCATGTGTCCCGTCACTCACAGCTGTCGTTCCTTTAGGGTTGGATCATGTCATTTGTATCTCCAGTTGTTGATACTGTAGCTAAATGTTCTGTTGAATTAAAAACATTTAAAGAATTAAAGTAATATGAATCAATGAAATCTCAGCTAATTATTGATACATACAAGCATATACTGTAAGCCATAACCAGGATGACATGAACACAAAATCGTTGTCCTTGTTGGTTGGACAGACAATTTCCAGAGATGTCCCAAGAGGAAGTCCATTCCAGTTCTTTATGTATGAAAGGCCTTCTCTTTGAATTATGAATGTGGCTGAAGCCATGTGTATAACACTGCATGCTCTTCATCTGATTGGAGAAGAAACATGTGCTGAACAGTAGCTACAGTGTTTGCTTTACTTGACTTAGTTACAAGGTTTATTATTTGATTCAGGAAGATCCCAAATAATAAAAACAACAGCAAGAATAAAAACAATTGCTCGTTTACTTTGACAGCCTGTGCACATTATACAGCTGCGTGGATTTTTACTGGAGCATAGCATTGCCTTTTAAATTGCCCAGCATCTGCCCCAAAATAATTTTAGGCTGGAGAAACAGGTTTTGATTTTAAAGTGCATCATATTTCAATATCACATCAAAGCACGGACTCATAAGCATCACAGATGTCTGGCCTAAACGCTGTATATCCACTGACCTCAGAACAGCCCATAGTGAGTCAGTGGTTCTTTTGAGTCGATTCATCTGAACTGATTCGCAAAGCTTTTGCAAATCACGGAGTAAAACTAATCTGTGGGTATATGAGGTAAGTAAGAAACATAAACAACGTCTGGCACAATATTGGTAGGTATTTTATCTGGCATAAAATATCGTGATAATTTACATCAAAAGTAGGCCTACGTTGTGCAAACGCGTATTCAAGAGAATCAGTAAATGTCGTTTTTGAACCGGTTCGAACATGTTTCGGACTTCTCATCGGACGTAAACATCAAAAACGCAAGAAACGAATCAGTGAGTCGGTTCACACAAAGATTCCCCGCCCCGCGTCTCAGTGCAGCAGCTGACGGGGAGGCAGGCAGTGCGCATCGGTCACTCCCAGCGCAGTGTGTCCAGCCTCTCTCTCGCTCATTGCGCGCTGCGGACTCCAAAGGCGGTGAAGTTTATCACGTATTCTTTTATCGGTAAGTACAAACAAACCTTTTATTTTATCTTCAGTTGTTTTATTAAGAACGTGCAAGCTGAAATGCGCTCGCGTAGACCCGTTTGCCGCAATAATAACAGTGATTTCTCATAAATACGTGGGTGGCGATGGAGTCCAAACGAGAGGAGTTTGCGTCAAAGATATAAACCCAGGTGTATTAAATGCTGATCCAGATTTAGAGGCCTTAATGCATTCAAATAATCATTATTAGTTCATACAGTGTATGTTATATACAAACAAAGATTGAGGTTTGATGTGGGTATATGATAGTGGGAATCATAGACGTGAGCTGTGGAATAACGGTACAGTAGAATATGGATGCAAACAGGCGTGGTCAGATCCTGAGGCTGGAGTTTTGCCTTATTCAAAGCGCAGACTTGCATTTGCATAACCAGAGGTTATTGCAATCAGTAATATTACCGTATGGATGTGATTTAGCAGTTTGTGATGAGGTAACTCGTCATCTAATGGTATACATGTGTAAATCTGGCGCGTTACTCTCAGTGACCTGAAATGGATGTTGATCATCTCACTGCGGTACTCCAAAGAGAAATCACCATTTCACACGTTACTGTTGCGCGACAGAACCGCAGCGGGTTACTAACATCCTTCAATCGTCCCCGCGGGTTTGTGTTTTCACACTTCAGGCGTCGCGTCGCGTCCGTTTGCGAATGATGATCGGAGGCTATCCGTGACATTCCCTGCAGTTGTGGATTTAAATTGTGGTAATCAACACATAGAGTGTTTGTTTGTCATGCTGCAGTACTAATGCGGCCTTTGCGTGCTTATTCTGGGCAAGTGCGCAGAAATCGCACTAAATAAATAACGCACATTTGCGCGGTTACGCAGTCGCCACATTAGCGCTTAATGGAAACCACGAGACTAGTGCAGCAAAACAGTCGGACATGATGTCATAATGGCACATGTAACGCACCGCGAGTGTTTGTGATGTCATAAAGCCACGCGCATGACGCATAACATCGGAATGCAATACTAGCGTACTGTGCAACTGTTCTTTAATAGTGTGCGCGAAGACATCTTAAATGGCATCCAGTTGTGATTGCAAATATTAAAATGGCTATTTTGCACTGTAATCCAATTTCAATCTCTTCTTAGCATAAAGGTTGAGTCAAGAAAACGTTAAAAGGCACAGGAAATGGATAGTTAGGAGTAGTGCATTCGATTGCAGCTCTATTTTGATGAGTTTTGACTTTCACATGCTGTGCATTTATGCATTTAGCTGATGCAATTTGTCAAAGAGCCAACCATATTCAGCAGTTTTATTAGACAACTAGTTAAGGAAACAAGCTATAGAATAGGAGAAATGCAGAGGAAAAAAATTAAAGCAAAAAAAAAATATATATGTACAATATGAAGTCGTATGCTATTGCAAACACAGCCTGGATGCCTTCCCGAGCGCCACGCAGTCCCCATAGTGATTCTGTCTCTCCCAGCAACATTCACCAGAGACGGCGAGGAGTGCATTGTGTGTTCTGACAGCAGGATATTTCATTAGTTTAATGGCGGGAGGCGGGAGGGGATTTGGAGGTGTTAAAAAAGACCTGAAACTTGCAAATTCACTTGAATTTAAAGCAGCTCCAGCTGGTTTTGTTGGACCCCTGGAGTGACGCTGCTCACATATTCCATTTGTTTTTACACTAGAGCCACACCTACTATACATTATGGCCACATTTAGTCTCTGGGTGATGTTTGCACCTGGATATCAAATCTTGAGGACTTTCTGAGCAGTTTTTATGCATATGCACTATTAAAAAAATAAAGGTTTCGTGGGGAGTTTCAAAGTAATGTCATGGAAGAACCACTTTTGGTTCCTCAAAGAACCTTCCAGTAAAAGGTTCTTAATAGAGCCATTTTGAAAAACTTTTTCCACTGTAAAGAACCTTTTATGGTTCCATGGATGTTAAAGGTTCTTCATGGAACCATTAATGCCAATAAAGATCAATTTTTTAAGAGTGTAGGCATGCATTATTCTAGAAAGGCTTCCTCATAAAATGAGCATGCTGTTTCTTTAAATAACCTTTTGTCTTTGGATGCATAGAATCATTGGTGTGAATGAGATCTGGTGTGAAACTATTTCTCACTGCAGTCTGAGAACTCATGAAGCATTCTTCACGCTGGTGTGAAATGACCTTTCATTTGATGCTTCAGTCAGCACCATGTTGCTTTTTGCTCTTTGGAAGACAAATTTATTTTTCATTTCTTCTCTAATTAATATTTACCCCTTCCCTTTTATAGATTTAATCAAGATTTGGCAGATGATTGAGTCAGTTTTATTGGTAAAAGCTTTGGTTCTGGTTGGGCTCTTGGCAAGCTTTCTGAGTGTAGTGGCATTTAAGAGCTTGGCACAGAAAATGCACTCTGCATTCGTTTTTTTTCTCTCTTGATGCATCAGCTTTATGCACAGACCTATTTGCTCAAGAAGATGTCCTCAGCTTGCTTTACAACTATAGAGTTGCAGTATGGCCTTAAACAAACTCTACACAAATGCAGGTGCTTAATTTCATGCATTGCTTTTCTGAAATGTGTTAGACCGCAATTCATAATGCAACACAAATACGCATCGCCGCAAGGAGTGTTGTTGTAAGCGTCTTCATCTGCAGTCAGTTTTCTTGGCTAGTTTTCTCGCAGCATGGCACAGCAACAGTTATTAGTTTAAAATAAATTGTTTAAATAGAACTGCTGACATGTTTATAGTTACCTACTTGATTTCTGGAGGTTTTTACTGCCGGAACAATGCAAGAATGCATGTTAAAGGAATAGTTCACCCAAAAAGGAACATTCGCTGAATATATTCTCACCCTCAGGCCATCCAAGATGTAGATGGGTTTGTTTCTTCATCAGATTTGGAGAAATGCAGCATTATGGATCCTCTGCAGTGAATGGGTGCCGTCAGAATGAGAGTCCAAACAGCTGATAAAAACATCACAATAATGCACAAGTAACCCACACACCACTCCAGTCCATCAGTTAACATCTTGTAAAGACAAAAGCTGCGTGTTTGTAACAAACAAATCCATCATTAAGACGTTTTAACCACAAACCATTGGTTCCAGCAAAAATAATATCCATAATATCGCTTTCTCCCATGAAAAAGTGCCTGGTCTGAATCAGGAGAGAGATCTGCAGAGATCAAGCAGCGTTTACAAGCCAAAACAGCTCTAAACAAATATGTGGCTGGATTTTGATGTGAGAGACAACAGGAGATGAACTTTTCCACTGGAGGAAGCATTATTATGGATTATGGACTCGTATTTTGGCTGAAAACAACCGATTAGTTAAAACATCTTAATGATGGATTTGTTTTTTACAAACACGCAGCTTTTGTCGTCTCCAGATGTTAACTGATGGACTGGAGTGGTGTGGATTATTGTGATGTTTTTATCAGCTGTTTGGACTCTCATTCTGACGGCACCCATTCACTGCAGAGCATCCATTGCTGAGCAAGTGATGCAATCCTACATTTCTCTAATTCTGATGAAGAAACAAACTCATCTACATTTTGGATGGCCTGAGAGTGAGTGTATTTTCATCTAATTTCATTTCTGGCTGAACTATTCCTTTAACGTTTGCATGCCATGAATGTTAATGTTTCTGGCCTATTAGTGTAATGAAACCTTGATTTGCATCCCATGAAACTGGTTTAAATTGGCTCCAGCTTATTTTAGTTAGTTCGTTGAAGTTTGATTGATTGTTTAGCATCAGTACGATCTTATCATTAAACGTGTTCATGTGTTCTTGCATTAATCAAATTCCAAGCTCTTTCCTGCACTTCAGTGAATCGCTTGATTCTCTTCATAGCAGCCAAAATAAGCAGTAGAATTCACAGACTCTCCTGTCGATATTTCCATCATGTGAATGGCTTTCGGTGCGCCTGTCCAATAACAACATCACAGTTTCCCTCCGACACTTCCCAACAAAATGGAGCTTCCACTCAAGAGCAGTGAAGCGTGCAGCGACACAATATCCCGTGGCTTTTTTCATAAAGGGATACCTGTTGTACGGCGAGGGTGAGTTAATTTCTCAGCACAGACCATGTTACAGTGGGACAGGTGGTGGGGGTTCGATGTTTACCATCAGGGACTTTCTGTGTGTTAAAGAGGGGAGGAGCGCTCGAGGTTTGGAGGCTGTAAGTGACTGGGGACCAGCTGTCATGACTGTGGACAACAGGTGAGGGACACATGGTCCCTATGGGTGGCCCCTAGAAAGAGAGTACTGTTTGTGTTAGGGCTGGGTGATAAAGCTGGAAAAAATTATATTGTAAATTATACAAGAAAACAAATTCAGTCTTTTTTGAGACTATTTGATATAGGTTTTAGATTGTGTGTTTGCTCAAATTTTTTATTTTTTTTTGCAAAATAAAATCTAAATGTTCAATGCTAAAAGTAAAAAAATAAATAAAAATAAAAATTATTAGAAATAATCAAAGCATGATTTTTCCATGCTGTTTTTGTACAAATCAAACATATGGAAAAAATATTATATATTTTTTATTAATAAAGCATTTTAAAATCATTACAGATTAAAAATCCCTGTTCATTTTGTATCAGAAAAATAATATATTGTAAATTTTTCATATGAACATATTTAAATGCATTTAAGCGATGATTTAAAACAACCAGTAAATCTAGTTTTTGAACCAGTTTGAACATGAATCAGACTTTTCAATGCTATGTAAAAATCGTAACACCATTTGAAATTATTGAAAAGTAAAAAAAAATAAATTCATTCAAATAGTCATAATTGTTGCAAAATAAATTCTAAATTTTAAATGCAAAAGTAAAACACAAAAAAAATAGGAAATCATCAAAACATGATTTCCCATTCTGTTTTTCACAAATTGAGCAAATGGAAAAAAGTAATTATATATTTTTATTAATAAAGCACTTTAAAATTATTGTGGCATTCAACATGTTGATTTATTTTAATAATTAATGTGTATATATAGTAACTTTCTCCAAA